GAGAGAGATAGTGATGTGAACAGATCTCTGTCTGTCCCACAGAGCAGGTGTGTGCTCTGTTCAAACACTGGCTGCTTCTCTCCAGAAGACAAGGTATCAGATGGACTGTGTGTGTGTGTGTGTGTGTGTGTGTGTGTGTGTGTGTAGCAGCCATGGTGTCATATAGACGCTATAGTAATCTTTGCAGACATAACAGTCACCAACTGTTGACTTTACTCTATATACTGCTCTTACTGGCGCTCATTTCACACACACGCACACGCGCGCGCGCACACACACACACAAACACACACACACACACACACACACACACACACACACACACACACACACACACACACACACACACACACACACACACACACACACACACACACACACACACACACACAGAAAACCATGCTAACTCTAAAGCAGACTCTTCTCACTCCTCAAATTCAGCTCAGTGAGTCGCTGCAAGCTTACAGATTTGAAGCTGCAGGTTCTTCTCTGGTTTTTGTTTCTGACTTCTCCTCTAGGTAAGGTTAGAGGCTGGAACACCAAATCCTGCAGCTCCACCAGTCAATCCCTAATGAAGACTCTGGCTCTGAATGACATCCCAAGTGAATGATGTCAGCACCCGTCGTGGAAAGGCTTGGGTATCAAGAACCAGCTCTACATTTCTAAATTACATAAATATATTAACTCCGCTTTTGGTTACATAACATCATTTGTGAAACAGCATGTCAACAAAGCTTTGAAAGAAGGGCACAGTGGACGGCAGCAAAAGTTTTTGGCTGTGGTTAGAAGTTTTGCTAAGCTACACTTAAAAGATAATGACACAACAAAGTGCAACACGGGCAGTAAAGACATTTCATGCAGAGAAGGAAACACATTCAATATCTCCCATCCCGTCCACAAAAACGCCCCGCACACATCTCTTTATGCATTCACTGGAAGCTACACACACAACAGTGTCCTGATTATACAGCCAGATAGAGCGGATTCATTTTCATATAGGAAAAAACTCCCACCTTAGAGAAATCATAGCATCGCTATGGCCTTCATAATTGAGAGATATAAAAACAAGGCTCCCACCAAAACCTGCTTCAACCCTTTTCGAGGCAGCACAACTGTGTCTTTAGCACGAAGCTAACAGAGAAAACCAGCACAGAAAGTCTACAAAATAGACAAGAATTGCCACCGTTCTCAGAGATCAACAGAAAAGGACATTCTTATCGACGTTTGAATTCATGAGGGTCACTTTAAAGTCAGAAAATCGGGGAAAAATGTGGATAAATACAAACATGTCACATTTCAGACAAGCGCATGAGGCATGTTTTGTCTTGTTATTATTTAGCGACAGCTGTAGCATTGTGCTGCGAGCCCACAACATCATCAATGTACGACTGGCATCGCTTTGGATTGAAAGTTGAGGTTGGAAAAAAGAAAGACAAACAGACACCGCATGAAGGAAAGTCTAAAACAAACAAGTCCATTCAGCTTAGAACATGTTGGAATTATGTGTCTGTGTTTGTGTGTCTGCAGCAGAGACGGACCGCTGACTACAGTGTCCAGCAGAGGATGGATGTGTTTGATTTGCCATGCAGGGAGCGCCTCCGGGTCACAACACATTTATATTTCAGCTCCACCCTGCTCGTTTTTTCATCGACGAGTCTGTCTGAATGTGTGTGTGTGTGTGTGTGTGTGTGTGTGTGTGTGTGTGTGTGTGTGTTAGCCTTCCATGTGAATATAAAGCAGAGCCAAGGACATGGTTTGGCCGTCCCAAAGGTCCAAACATTCTCCCACTCACACTCACACACACACACACACACACACACACACACACACGCAGGCAAAGAGCTGCAGGTTGTAAAGATCCTCGAGGCAGACATTTCCCCTCTCTATCAATCCATCAGCATCCCCTCTTTTCTCCCAGGGTACGAAACAAAAGAGAGAAAAGAAAGAAAGAGTCGACTACAAATTGTCCGTGGAATTAAAGGTCAAGGTTGAAGTTAGCCTCATAAATTGTGTGTCTGTGTGTGTCAGTGTGTCGGCTTTTATAAGAACATAAAACTACAGCAGGGTTCTGGTTTGGCCGTCCTTAAAGTCCACAAATCCTCCCAGAGAAACACAGACACACACATACACACAAAGCCAAACGTTGGGAGTTACAAAGAAGAACATTTCTCCAGCTCTCACTCCGTCTCTCTCTCTTCTCTCCGGGTGAAAAACATTAACGAGCAGGACAGAATGAGGAGGAAGCAGTGAAAGAGCGTGAGCAATAAACCGCCTGGTGAACACAAGGTCAAGGTCGGAGTCAGTCCCATAATTAGAGTGTGTGTGCTTGTGTGTAGGAGTGTGTGTGGATATCCTGTGGGCAACAGGTCTATGCACAGTCAGCAGTGTGATGTTACACTCTGCTGGACTGATTTTCATATTATCAGAAGAACTGCACGGGTGTATTTTTTTTCCAGCAAAGACATAAAAGGGAAATTGCTCTGAGGAAAAGTATTCAAGGCTCAAGTCAATAAAAAATGAAGAAATTGAATGAAAATGTGGATCAACAGTTTGCTCAAAATGATCCGAAAATGAGCAAACATTCAGAAAAGTCTACTTGGAATTTAAATGTTTGAACATCAACCTTTTTTGTACATATAGATATTAATTAAAAATGAACTGTTTTGCACATAAACACATTTCTTGTAATTGAAACTAATCTAATTCTGGTATTTGATCTCTAAACAGATTGGAAAAAATTGGTTGCTGAGTCAAAGAAACTAAATATAATATATCCTAAAGGGCTCGACAGTTAAGCCCTTTAGGATATATTATATACTAGTGGGGTTCTTGAAGTATGTATCCCATTCATTTTCTCCATAGCGGATCTGATTATTAGCTGATGTCATAACCATCCAAGGTAGACTCACTACAAGCTACCCGAGTGTGAAACGATGGTTTATGCTCCTGTAAGACACAAGTTCGTAATGTATGATGTCACAGAGTGTCACAGAGACATCTCTCTTTTTAAAAAAAAAATTTTAAACATTTATTTTTGGGCTTTTTTGCCTTCAATGTAGAGATAGGACAGTAGATAGAGCTGGAAATCAGGGAGAGAGAGAGAGTGGGGAATGACATGCAGGAAAGGAGCCACAGGCTAGATTCGAACCCGGGCCGTCCGCTTTGAGGACTATAGCCTCCATACATGGGGCACACACACTAACCACTGCGCCCCACAGAGACATCTCTTAATGGTTGAGCTTGCTGTCACCATGGAAATGTTTCCTGTACCTGGTTGCCATATGCGATCGGATGATGATGCTAGCAGGCTAGCTGGTCAGTAAGCTAACACAAAATGTACTATTAATCTGTTTATGCCGCAGTGAGTGAAATTTATGTATTAACACAACACAGACTAAAACATATTACAACACTTGTATTAACGGTATAAACTTGATCAAAACAACTAAAGTTCAATTTAAGAGGAAGAGGAATCATTCACAATGGATTGTGGGATGGGTAGTTCCTTGACTCTGGAAAAAAAATATCTACACGGTCTTGCACCTTTCCCCTTTTCTCTGTTTTTAAATGCCATTTATGCACCGAATCAAATGTTTTATAATCACGAGTATTGTGGTGACTGGTTGTCTTGGTAACAGGCTTCAATCTCTCCATATAAAGATTTTGTAAAATGTAAATGGCGGATTTGAACAGGGTAATTTACTTCTGAAACCAGAGCTGCCGAAAAAGTGGCCAGTCACTGTTGAGCTCTATTAAGTATGTTCTTTGGATACCCTTTTTATTATCACACTGATATCTCTATTAAAGGCCTGAATTTATTCATTTCAGTCTAAATAAAGATGTTTTTTTTAATAACCTTAAGGGTAACGTTTCGGTACATAAACCCTTACAAGACTGCGACTGTTGTGTTTGGTTTTGTGCGTTTAAATATCATGAATATGAATGAGTGTGTGTGACAGACCCCGGCCAGCCCCCCTGTCTGCAGCTTCTAAACACATCTCTGCACACTGATAAATGTTTTGTGTCCATGTGCGCCCGCTTGGCTTAAAAAACAGACACATTCAAGCTCTTTCTGCAGTTTCAGTAAGACTGTCATGGAGAACCACAGGGAGCCTTTATTCTGGAAAATGTAAGGATTTATTCTTCATCGAATGATATTCTGCAGAAGTAGTTGTGGCGTAATATTCCTATATTTTTTTCTTCTCCAGAATTCCCTCACAAATCCCAAACCCTTTGTGGTGTCAGTGCGTCTCACTTCCTCACAGAGTCGAGTTCAAATCAATTCCCCTTCCTTTAAATCTTTTATCCAGCTGAGATCTCTTGTGAATAAATAATGGAGTAAACAGCATTTTCTCTTCCCTTTAATTAAACACGGCTCTGCTGAGGAGAGAGAGAGAGAGAGAGAGAGAGAGAGAGAGAGAGAGATAGCTGCTCTGGAAGTTTGGGAGGTTCCTCTGACGATGAGGAGGTGATGCTGCTTCAATTTTAATTCTGCATCACTCCTCACGGTGTTCATAATACATCACACACTGAGATACCACGACGACCAGTTTCAACACATAACAGTAAAAATCATTCAGATTCCTTCTATCACTTAAATCAAAGCCATAAATCATGTTATCATGATATTCTTCTACAGTAATAGACCAACCATTTGTTAAGCTTTTAAAACTACAACAGCCATGTCAGGAGAGATGGGGACATGAGGTAAAGAGGTCGCTGCAGACAAAGCCAAAGCATCAGATGAGGGCGTTTTTTTCTTAATATCAATGCTACGTGTAATTGGACATATTAGAGTAACAACTAGTGGACAAGATCATAGGTTTTGGATTTTGTTGCAGTCATTACAGCCTGTATCCCAAATACACTGGAGCATTTTGCGACTTTTGCTACCTATTTGTCATTTAGACTCCAAAATATGTAAAGCAAGGGTCCTAGTTACGATATTTGGAATTACCCCTGTCCTAATGTGGACAGGAAGTCAGATAGAGAAAGTTTACCTTGTTTCCAGAGGCACATTGCTACCCAGCACCCAGCTGTCTTGCAGCGGGACGCTCTCGGGGGGCGTGGTCTGCAGCTCGGCTGGTGATTGGCCGGCCACGGGGGCCGGGTTTCCAATGGGAGGGGTGAGCTGCCGTGAATTCAGGGATTGGCCAGCGTGGTGTGTGGTGCCCAGGGATTGGTTGAGAGCTGTAATGGAGGGCTGCTGGCGGTGAGGGGGAGGTACCGGAGGCAGGGTGGGGCCGTGGTGATTGGATGGTTGCTCTGTAGGAAAACAGAAGAGAGGCACGGTCAGAGGGATGGTTTTTTAGATATTATTAAAAGGTGCACTTCTATTGTAAAAAGATTTGTTTTTCACTTTGACTTTTCACTGTGGATTAACAAGTGACTGAAAAGTGAAATAGAAATGGCAAGCAATGTCTCAGTTGTGTTTTTGCCCTTAACTCTCGCTAAACGAGTCTGCAAGCACCTATATTGGTATTTTTGATTATTGTTGTAATTTACTAGAATTTTTCTCATCCTGAGACTCTGTTAAAAAAAATGCTTCATGGCAATAAACTAAAATCACTGCAAAAAACATCAAAGCTGTGTCATACATTAAAAGGAAGCATGCACAACTTTACATGTATGAAATCACATTTTGATAAATAAATACACAAAACCATTGCCCTGCACATTTTTAGTTTTTGGAGAAATTCTCTTCTTCACAAGCAGAATGCAAAGCTGTTTATAGTTTCTCCTGCCATACAAATACAGTTCCCACGTTGTTGTTTTTGCTTATTGTGATGCAATTTCTCAGAACATCTTTAAATGCTTCATATCCCTAAATTAAGTTACGGAAGCTTTGCTATTTTTTATTTTTATTTTAGATCAATTTAAACAGGATTAAAGAAACATTCTGCAGCAGGCAGGAGGTCCGTTTTCATGGGTTTAACAGAATTTTAGTGGAATAGAGATTTAGAGACGGTTTTGGGTTTCATTGGATTTTAATAAACTAAAATCTTGGCTTCCATTTGTTACAAAAGAATATCCATCCTCTTTCTAAACCACTAATCTTGTTCGGGATGGTGGGAGAAGAATACAGTTAATAGAAAATGGTTTGATTTGAAAAGGATGCAAATGAAACACAGACAGGAGCCACTTCTTCTGCGGCCAAGCTCAGCCTGCAGCTCCCCGTGCCAGGTTTGCACTTTTAAACACCAGAACTTTGTGTTGTTTAGAGGACTTGTGTTGTTGTTTGTTGTGGTGCTGAAGAGCTGTCATTGGCAGAGGATGGGGGAGGTTTTGTCCCCTTTTTTTTCACTTAGTAGCCGTTAAATTCATGAACAGACATTTGCATTGTTTACGAGAGGAAATTCATCATATTGCACTTTTCATAAACCAATTAAATGCAACGTTTCAACTGTAACATAACTATCAGTGCTTCCTCTGCAGAGAGACTGAAAACAGAGCCAGACCACCACAGACTTGTTGGTTCATCAGAGTCGATATGAATCCCTGTGATGCAGTAATTGGCAGAACTCTAACTCTGATGCCTGCAGCAGTTCAACCTGTTGAGACGATGCCGACGAGTCGACTCTCAGAGTCTGACTGCTTCTCTAAATCTATCGGCCCTGAGGCTGCAGGAGGACAGACGGAAGACTCAGAGGAAGATCAACGGCACAACTTTACTTTTAATGAAGGGAGTGGAAATGAAATTTAATACAAAGTACAGAGAAATGTCCCTGAACAAAATGGACCAGATGGATGCAGTGGAATAAAAAGTGATAGAGAGGGCACAGGGAGTTCAATGTATGTTGAGGATGCTTTAATGTCATTGCTGCATGGTTTTGATTTCTGCAACGTATTCCTCAGAAAACCGATTCTTTAGATCGCAGCAGTAAGCCAGGGTTGCTGCACCATTTTTACAATGAAACTGAAGAGCTTTTAGGCCCTCTTTAAGAGCCCACAAAGAAAATCAAAAAATGCAAAAATGGTAAATTTTGGATTTTTTTGGAAACGGGTTTCATGTCAGACTTTGATTTCCATAGACTCAAGTGTTACATTTTTTTTGTATATCCTGCAACAAACATTGTGTTTTCCCCTGCAAAACATTCGCTGATTTTCTTTAAAACTTGCATTCCCCTTGCACTTGCATTTTATATAAAGTCTCTTCATCCACATCCTGAAGACCAAACCTTGACAACAGAATTAATTCAGTGAAAGCTCTTAGAGCGATATAACAACATTTCAACCAGCAAACCTTTTAGAGTTGGAGGCTCAATTCTTTCACCATTTCCTATTTTTTGGGGTTGTTTTTCTAAAAGTGCATAATGTGATATTACTGACTACATATCTTGATGCTTTTGCTACCAATTCAATTTGAATTCTCTTCACCGAGGCACGGTGCAGCAAACAGCCACCAGCAGGTGTTTGGTATCAAGTTAGTCTTCAGTCAAGTTCAGGTAAGATGAAGAAATTCTATGAGAAAGCCTTTAATTATCCTGCTGATGAATACTTTTACAATCCAGACGTCCTTGAATCTGCCACAGCTTCAGATATTTGATTCATTTTAAACATCAGAGAAGAAGAAAAGCTCACAGCGTTCACAGAGCGACTGTGGGTTTGGATGTTAACCACAATGTAAATTCTTCAGCGGTGAACAAGCCGGTCAAGGCTGGTGAGAACCGTAACCCAACACCGCACTGGGCTCCGCCAGGATGAATACTGATCAGTGATAGGCCTTCACAAAAACCTGGCTTTGTTGTTCTACTAAATATTTGCACAAAGTTGACCTGGCTTCAACTTCTCCCCGCTGTTTTTTCCTCGCACTGCTTTTTGGCTGCTTTTCTGTCCTCTGGGTGCTCTGAAGGAAACGGATGGCAACGCTGGTGTTTGATTTGCATAAAGAGCATCACGTCTCCATTTCCCAGCCCTGCTGTTATTCATTCTCCGCCTTCCTCGTAGGACAAAACAGAAAGTAAGGAGAGCAAGAGAATGGATACGTGTAAGAGCAGTGAGGGGGAGTGGATGAGGAGAGAGAAAGTTCTCGCCTCCTCCTCCTCCTCTGTCCATATGCTGTTTTCCTGGCTTAGTAATGGCTGCATTTATGCAAACCTTCAAGGCTAAATGCTAAACACACACACACACACACACACACACACACAGATGCACACCGCGTCAGGATTTCTGGATGAGTGTTCAGGCATCATTAACAAGACTGCATCTGTGTGCCATCGCTACACATGTAATACTAAACACCTTTTATCTAAGACTCCACAGACACACACACACACACACACACACACACACACACACACACACACACACACACACACACACACACACTCACAGAGATCATTGAGGGTACTTTTCGATAATAAAAAATCTCAATGAGACACAGGCAGGAGGATTTATCACTCCAGCTGACAGACAAGAAGCTCTCTCACAGTGCAGCAGAAAGAAATTCGCTCCGGCACAAAATCCCATCAGACAAGAGGGGACAGCCTGTAGAGACTGGATCATTTAATGAGCGTCTCAAAGTGTGTCACACATTTACTCTAAATGGACCGCACTGTAGTGTCAAAAACAATCCAAACGCTTCGCACTGAATGACTAATTCACTGGCAGATTTCAGGAGTCAGGGATCAGAACGGTTATCTGATGACTACAGCATCAGAATATAGTAAAAATGCACCAGGCAGAAGACATCACCACAGTCTGTCATTGGATGGGACCAGAGACAGTTTATAAGAAGGGGACGTTTTCTGTCACCTGTGGTCTGTTTTCGACCACCCCCCCTCCCACACACACACACACACGCACACACACACACACACACACACACACACACACACACACACACACACACACACACACACACACACACACACACACACACACACACACACACACACACACACACACACACACACACACACACACACCAAGTCTGCAGCAGCTCTAATTGTTCATGGATTTTTTTTTTTTACTTGAACTCGAGAAGCTGGAATTAATTTGAAAAGGTCATTTGTCCAAATACGTCCTGTTAATGGATTTTGTTGTAAATTAATCCTGGTGACAGTGACAGGCCTGTCTGTGTGTGTATGCGTGTGCGTGTATGCGTGTGCGTGTGTGTGTGTGTGCATGTGTGTGTCTGCAGGTGTGTGCGAAAGTCTGAATCTTCATAGTAATCAAGTAAAAAAGACCTGCCGCACAACAAAATAGTTTCCAAATGTTTAATTCTCAGATATATTTTAATTGAGTGGATTTAGACAAAAACAAAAGCTCAGGTAGAATCTGACTGTGCTAAATTTGTGTTGGATCTAACAGAAGCTTTATTTTGAAAGTTGGGGGGGGGAGAGAGGGGGGTTAGCAAATCTAAACATACAGAGCAATTTAAAACAGACTCAACGGTCACCAAGGGAAGCAGAAGAGCAGAGTTCACAATTTTCGTAATAGGAACATGTATGCCTGGGGAAACGCGCTCTGAAATTGAGGTTGTGCGCGCTGCCAGCCCCCCCCCAAAAAAACAGGCCTGCAATCAGAAAACCTTGTTCTCAATGAGACAAACTTGGCTGAACATGTGGCTTGTATCCAAGCATGTTTGCACTGGTATCAGTAACAAAAATAGATTGGAAGAAACTACAGAAATCTTCCCGATTTTCTGTTTTTTTTTTTTTTGAGGAACTTAAATGATTAATATTGTAAACGAGATGTTTCACTCACGTCAGCAGCCACCCGTGTACCACACACGTTTGGTGACAGTTTCTGTGTGTAAGTGGCAGCCTGTCAGTATCTCTAAGAGCACTATGAAGAGAAAATGAAACCTTGCCGTCATTTGAAATAAAACTATTTTTCTTTGACCAGCGATTTCATCTCTCATCACTCCACCTCTGTCTCTGTCTCTCTCTCTTTGGTCCCTTCATTGATTTGCATACTTTTATCTGTCGCTCTCAGGGTCTACTGCACTCCTCCGTCTCTTCACCACTGATCTGACTCGCTCTCATCTTTTATTTTCTGCTGACACACACACGCTCCACAGCAGCTGAAAATCCAACGTATACAGAAAGAGAGAGAGAGGGAGTGTGTGTGTGTGTGTACATTTACTACCTGACTGTCTTTTGTCCTGCATGGACTTGGATATAACAGATTATTGTGTCTTTTGTTCAGATCAATAATTAAATATGTGGGATTGATTTACACTCTTGACAGACTAAAAGTCTACCAGAAATAGTCAATATGTAAACAGAGTGGACTGTGCTCAAAAAACTGATCCTGCAATA